CTAGTGAAATTAATTTTCTAATATATAATTATAGCCATTACAAATTCTTGGGTATAGTCAAACGATATACCTAAGAAATTGGTATATCGTTTGGCATGTTTATTAGACATATTATTTGTGATGATTTTGTGAAAAGTTTAATTATCTTTGCAAAGATGCCCCGCAGAAAAAGCCGCAAGAAGACAACCGTAGGAGAATAAATATAGCCATAGAAATAAAACCAAAAATCATTGAAAAGCGAGAAATAGTGTGAGAGTGGCTGATCTAGCATGCACATACAATTGGTATACATCAACGATTTGCACTATCCTCAAGAACAAGGACAAGATTAAAGAGATGGATGCTTCAAAAAAAGTGACAAGAATTTCTAAGCAACGGTTACATATTCTCGACGATGTTGAAAGGTGCTTCTCATATGGATAAACGAAAAGCAATTGCAAGGCGACTTAATGACGAGAATATCATTTGTGAGAAGACGAAAGTGATTTTTGCCGATCTCGTTAAGAAGACGCCAGGATCATCAACAGCAGAAGAAGTATTTAGGGAAGCTATGGGTTTGAGAAGTTTAAAAGAAGAACTGGCATCTATAACGTTGTAAGACATGGTAAAGCAGCAAGTTCCGACACAAAAGCAGCAGAGAACTTCCTCCGCGACTTCAAGAAGCTCGTAGATTCTGACGATTACATGTCGCAACAGGTTTTTTTAATTATGACAAAACGGGTCTCTTCTGAAAAATGTTGCCGAAGCGAACCTATATAACAGCAGAGGAGAATGCATTGTCCGTCTACAAGCCAATGAAAGGCCGTCTCAGGCTGCTATTTTGTGCCAATGCAAGCGGTGATTTGAAAATTAAACCGCTGCTTGTTTACCATTCAAAAACTCCACGAGCCTTCAAGAAGTGTAAAGTCCAGAAGAGCAAGCTAAATGTGATGTGTAGGTCCAACAACATAGCTTGAGTGACACGTGACCTTTTTACTGATTGGATCAATGAAGTTTTTGGTCTTTCTGTAAAATATATTTGCTTGAGATGAATCTGCCACTCCATGTCTTAGTTGTTATGGACAACGCTCCTGCCCATCCTCCAGGCTAACAAGATGACCTTCTTTAAAAATTTAAATTTATGAAGCTCCAGTTTCTGCCCCCAACACCACTTTATTTCTCCAACCTGTAGACCAGTAGGTTATTTCTAACTTTAAAAAGCTCTACATTAAAGCGCTTCTCAAGCGTTATTTTGAGGTGAGTGAAGGACCAATCTCACTCTCAGAGAGTTTTGGAAATATCACACCCACATCGTTGCCTGCCTCAAGATGATCGAAAAGGCATGGGAAGGTGTTAGCAAGAGAACCCTTACTTCTGGAAGATGCTTTGGCCAGAGAGCGTTGTCGAATGTGACTTTGAGAGGTTTGAGTCAGTATTTGTGGAGCCTGTAGTCAACGAGATTGTGTTTTTGGCCAGAGTAGGTAGATTACCTGGTCTTTCTGCTAACAGTTCAAACTTAGCTAGAGCCAGTATTTGCCGTTAGTTGGCGTCTCGGTTGATTGAATAGCTTTGTTTTTGCTTTGGATATAGGCCTACTGGTGAAATCAGTGATTTCGACCTATAATAGCTATTTTTGTACGTACGTAAAAATTCCAACGTGCTTTGTGCCTGGATGCAAGGCAGAATATAAGTCGTCAAACAAGAAGAGACACTTCTTCTGTGTTCCTAGTGATAAGATTGAAGCGTGGATGCGATGCATTCCACGAGACGACAAGATGCTAACAAGTAAATGTTACGTTTGTGACGTACATTTTACAAATAAATTTATTTTAAAAACCTACTTTCATGTTATAAATGGAGAGAAAGTAGAAACAAGGTTCCACGAGATTGCAGAGTATTAACGTCAGATGTATATCCATCAAAGCGGCCCATCAGTGGCCAAGCGGTTCCGTTCACTGAGCACTGGGTGTTCGGTAGTGGGTTCGCGCTTCGCCTCGCCAGGACGGGCTGGCCACGTGGAGTTATCCGTGTTTTTTCCACATTTGTAATGCCTGAATAAGTGTCAGTTTTCCTTAAAAAAGACCCAGGAAAGCAGGTCGCTGAAGTATTTGTGTTGCCGTAATTTTATAAAACAAACATATCCATGTCATATCGTAACTATCCTAAGTACATTAGTAAGTCTGTATCTCAAAAACTATCAACGCAATGTCTAACAACAAATGAAGAACGATCTAGGAAGAGCTCATGAAAACATAATACTAAAGATAATATAGTTTTATGCGATATGCTTCTTGTGTACAAATACACGAGCGCTAAGGCGGCTTTTCTTTTTCACTAGACTTATTACACCATCTATGAAACAGAAAACAAACTTTAGAAAGACTTTTTATTTATTTGAGAATGCATTTCGGATAATTATATCCCTTTTAAACTCTTGTGTTACAACTATACAGGGAAAATTAGCATAACGTGTACAAGTTAGTAAAAAATTTACTATAATGTTACAATGTTTTGTAACATTATAGTAAATTTTTTACTAACTTGTACACGTTATGCTAATTTTCCCTGTATAGTTGTAACACAAGAGTTTAAAAGGGATATAATTATCCGAAAAGCATTCCCAAATAATATAGTTTGTTATCTAATCTTAAAGGAAGGTGGAACGACAGATAGAAAAGCTTTAGGGTGCTACTATGCAGACACGAATTTAGTTGGGAGTGATAGTTCTCGCAGAGGAAAACCACGCACAAGCAAAAAATCTCGCTGGCGAGAGCGAATTTCTGGTTCTCGCACATATCTGACAGGGTTTGATATTTATCGCGTCTCGCCTCTTCTCGCCACATATTCTCTCTCGCTCGCGTCTGCATAATTGCATTCTTGTTGTATCCTATAGCTGCAAACAACAACATTAAACTTTTGTCACATTGAAGAGCAAGCTATGTAGAATAATTGCACTGTAGCCATTAACTATGGTGTCTTTTTATTAGGATCTAAACAATTTTTATTGTATACATTATCACTGTTTTGTTGAGCAGTAAATATTAAAAATCTTAACTATCTATCTGTGGTCCATCTTCCCTTATAAATACTTTAAGATTGATAAAGAAATATTATGCAATTAATCATTATATTTGCAAAATACACACTTCCAAGTACAACTGGAAGAACATTTACAAAATTTGCAATGTAATCCGAACCTGTCCTATGGAGATCATACTGATAGTGAAATATTAGACCATGATTGTGTTTTGCATCAAATGCATTTAAGTTTATTCCACACTATTTAGGAGGTTACATTGTTTATTCTGTACTGCCATCACTTAGTTGTAATGAATGAAAAATTTATTGACAGCAAAACTTTGAGATGCTGCACCAGAGAAGACGTTTACGTTCATCAAATCTCGAGGTAGTTTGTAATATCCAAGCCATAAGCTTTGCTAATGAATATACTGGACAAAAAAGCAAAGTTTGTGTACAGTTAACAAACCAAACATGGGTGTTTATTTTTCAATAATGGATATAATATTAAATCAGTGTTTTGTTACATTGATGACAGGATGCGACAAAGCTGTTCACAAGTCATACTTGACCTCCAGATTTTTCACTTTTTTGTTACCTATCGGTTGCATTTTTTCACTGGAACGATTAATCAATCATTTATTTCATCAGTTGAAAGTAAAAAACACAGAAAAATTTCTTACTTAAAGTAAATTTTAATAGCGCAAATATTGATGATTATTCTTATGTATAATATAATATTACATAATATAATTTGTTTGTATATATGTTATGGACAAAGTTATTAATCGGGCATTATGAATAATGACCAAATAGGTCGAGCAGTATGATAAATATTGATTAATTTATCAAATTGACCGGTCATTATGAATACTGCTATCACCTAGTCGGGCAAAGTGATAATAATAAGTTGAGGAGTGATCATCTGACATACGCTAGCCAATCGGCACGCTGAGTTGCGTGTGCGTATCGTACAGCGTTTAGTACAGAATTTTAAATTTGATTAAAAAAACTCCACTTATTTCATTTATAAATATTTATTTTTTGTAAATTATATCAAAGTACTATTAACTATATTAATTAAACTAATATTAACGAAAAGTATTATTAACAATTTTTGGTATAAATTATATAAAAAATTAAATGCTTTTTAGTTTATTTATTTGAGCAATTAACATTTTCATGACATTTGGAATTACATAATTTTTTTTTCTTTGGTAGCATTTGCATCTATTAGATTTTCAACCAATTTTTCAGCAGCATTAACTATAGTTGTGGCCATCAGGAATTGATGACATTCTTGCACATTCTCTAAGCGAAATTTCTGCACCCGGTACATCTCCAACAGAAATAAAGTTTTCTTTACAAACAGTAAATTGGTTTCTGGAATATAATAGATTTAATATGCCATGTTTGGTACCCAGTTTGTAAAGGTTTTTATCTTTAACCGCAACAACGACACCTAAAATATTTTTTCCATCACTGCGGGCTCGATCTTCATCAGGTACACGAATCCTTACTGTATCACCAACAATAGCTGCTGTGTATTTGGAATTTGATGTATTAATCATTTTTTCTGCTTGCTTTTTAAGATTAAACAAAGCCCTTGTTTTAGACACACTTCTTATTTTTTCTTCTTTTTTTGGATCAATTGTTTGGATTGTTTCTTCTTCATTCACCAATTCTGTAATACTAATAACATCCTGGTTTAGATTTTTTTCACGTGAAGACGATGTAGATCTTTGAACTTCATCAGTTATATTGCTATGTAAGGGTGGCATTATCAGATAATATTTCATAATGTTTTCTTGGACGGTACCCGGACTTTCAGAGTTTGAGCAACTTTGACTTACTTCGTTGATAGTTTTAAAATGTCTCTGTAGATCCTCTTCCGTATTAGCATTGAACAACGATTCGTTGGGTATAAAATTCTGTAGTACAACTTTTAACTTTGCTCCAAACATGGCCTCTTAGGGGCTGCAGTTTATACCAGTATGATGCGCTCAATTTTTCATCATTAGTACAAAACGTAATCCTTCCGACCATTTGTTAGTATTGTTAATCTCCAACCAAGAACTAAGCATATTTTCTACGTCTTGATTACATCTTTCTACTGAACCCTGACTTTGTGAGTGCCTGGGCTTTCCATGCACCATTTTTAACTCGGACCGCATATTACACATTTGTTTGATGATATTATTGGCGAATTCTCTGCCATTATCGCTTTGTAGAATACTTGGTGCACCGAAAATTGTAAAAATATCTAAAAGACCATATGCTACTTCTTTAGCCTTTTTGGTTTTTAACTCGTTTAATTGGTTGTTGAAGCGATTATTCATATCACTTAATGATTCCTTCATAATCGTTACTTTTGTCAAAGAAAAAAGATTAACTACTGGTCACATAAATTTAAATTTAAAGTTCGGTACTAAATGCAATACGCGTGAGCAAGTAAGATGTAAGTTCTGATTGGCTAACATATGCCGGATGATCACTCCTCAACGTATTATTATCACTTTGCCTGACTAGGTGGTAGCAGTATTCATAATGACCGGTCAATTTGATAAATTATTGAAATTTATTACAATGCCCGATTTTGTTGGTCATTATTCATAATGCCCGGGCATTATTCATAATGCCTGTATTAATCACTTTGTCCATAACATATATAATACATTTGTAATGTATAATAAATTGACATAATAGCAATAATAGCACAATTTAATAATTGGTTATTATGTCAGTTTTGTTCTTTGTCATTTATTTATCCATAAACCTGGTTTTGAGGTCCAAATAAAAGCGTTTTTATTCTTATAATAAAATTCATATAAAAAATTATGAAATCGAACTCGAAGGTTATATACTGTATTTTTCAATAAAAAAAAACATTCGACCTCACTGCGATTTGCTCTCGCCAAGCTCTTGCAAGGTCTGTATAGACCTTGAGCTATTGTAGTGATTGCAGTGCCCCTGTAACCAAAAAGATACCCACCCTAGTGGTAACATTTGTCTCTGGTTGATTTTTAGCAAGTAGCGAAGATAGGTAGTCGAAATACCAGATAATCTACCGACTCTGCTTTGACCAATATCATGGGACTGGAGGCGGCTAACAATGATATCGATGAGCTTGTGGAAAAGCACAGCCAAGAGCTGACCTCAGAAGAGCTTACGCAGTTGCATTTTGTTTCAAAGCAAGAAGTTGTGGAGACTTTGTCAGAGGAGGAGATAACAGCAAAGCAACAATCTTCTGACGCAATAAGAGAAATGCTGAAAGCATGGGAAACTGTTGCATCGTACATTGAGAAGCATCACCCTAATAAGGCAGTGGCTATGGCGATACAAATTTATTTAATGATGATGCTGTGTAGCATTTGAGTATTTTTTCGGCATAGAAAGCATTATCGTATTTTACATTAATTTATATGAGAAAAATTGTTTCGCTTAACGAATGTTTCGCGTTACAAGTAAAATTCTGGAACGAATTATGCTCGTTAAGCGAGATTCCACTGTAGTTCCATAACGTTGTGTTTTAAAAATTAAATATCATTCGAGTCTGCACGCTTAGTAATGCAGAATATTCACATCATCATAACTAAAATTATTCAAATGGTGACATTAAATACTCACAGTTATGAACTGATAGCTTGCCGCGTATCATGTAGCAAACTGGAAATCATTGTATTACAATCATTATAACTAATACAGAGAAACGATTAGCACTACCTCTTTTCATTTGAAGTGACGATACACTACTAAATCCATACTACTTTTTGAGAATAGCGAAAGTTTTAGAGCCTTAGGAGCTCAAATTTAACTTTCGTTGAAAATTTTTTTTTATTTTTGCAATTACAGTACTTACAATCTATGAGAATTATTAAGACTGCTTCTTATTTGGGGCCTATATGCATAAGATTCTCTTTGCCTCTCCCTCCTACGCCTGTAACCTTAACTTGCAATGGAAATTTTAATATTTAATTTCATCAATACACAAATAGTTGATTAATATTGAAAGATTAAACAAATATCGTGTTTCAATTTAATAGATGCCTCCTGTTAATCAAATATTTAATTATTTTATTTTAGATTTGTTGAGAATTTCAGCAGCTGTTAATACTGATTAATAACTTGTCGAACTTATAAATTTGTACAAAATATCCTCCATATAAAGAATTCTATAATGTTTTTCTCGGTTCGTAAATTTCGATTAAGATCTATTCTAAAAACTCTTGTAATTCTTATAATTATTCTTCTCACGTGTTTAAATATTCATACCAAGTAATTCGTTAAAAGTTATTAATATATAACCTATCGTAATTAATATGTATGGACCACATCATGAAGGCAGTGACATCAATTTTCCGTTCTGGGGCGCTCAGAATCTAATCCGGGTCCCATCCTTCACCACCGGTTGCCCCTATTGTGGGACTGGCCGAACCCACAATGGGTACAGAAAAACGCCCTTATTGAGCGGAAAGAGTTAAAATGAAAATAAAAAACACTAAATCTATGAGAAAGTGAAATAATTTTTTAAAATCAAGCAAATGCAACGAAATTTAATAAATAAATATAGATACAGTAAGACCCCGCTTAACGCTGCCTCGTTTAAAGCTGATTCGATATAACGCGGTCTGCCCGAAGCCTAAAAAAAGCTCAAAATTTACGCTGATTTAAATTATCGCGGCATTTCATTGATTCGTATATAATACGATTATTCCCAAACACGAATCAATCAGCAAAAGGGGACAATTCGCCAGCGCTGTACTTTCCTTAATTAAATCCATGTTTGTTTGGTGCAATTTTGGAAAAAATATAGCAACATTGATGCCATAGGCAATATTGGCTTCGCTTGGCAAGAATTAACTGATAAATATACGGAGGAAGAGTGGAAGAAGTTATGGCTGAAGGTATCTAAGAATTCTCAACGAGAAAAGCCTATCGCTGTATCGTTAAGTTGATCAAACTCAACCTAATCGATATAGCAGGACTAGGAGATTTAGACTAACAGGATATTGAGGAGTTATAGCAAATTTCTGGTGAGAGCCTTACCAACGACGACCTTCGAGAACCGGCAGAACATGGAATTCATGTAAAACTGGAAAATACAGATTCTGAAAATGAAGAACCCAAAAACTTTTTCTACAGATTTCCTTAGTAAAAGTTTGGTAACGATAACCGAAATTGTTTATCAAATTGTAGCGAATGATGTAGATTTTGAAAGAAATGCAAAAGCAAAACGAGACGTTTTGGATGCGATCTTCCGCTACCGACATTTGCTTAAGGAAAGAAAAAAGCGACAAATGAAACTTCACGACTTTATCGTAAAAAAAAACAAGAATTTCAAAAAAGTCAGGACCTTCGTCACAAAAAATGAACTAATTAATATATTATTATACATTTCTGTGTGCATATGTTTATGTGTCATCTAACATATATTATTATACAAATGAATATAAAAATGACTTAAAATTAAAGTAAATTTTTTTATTTTCGGTCGCGTGTTCCCCTATCCCTATTTACTCTATGTTAAAATGACGTCGTTTAACATTGTTTCGTTTAGAGCTTTGTCGTTTAGGAACTCATCCCCCGCATTAAGCGGGATCTTACTGTATTTATAAATTATGTTTAAATCTATATAAATAAAAATGTAAATGTTCGTTTGTTCAAAATCTTAAATCTCCGAAAGTTCTTAACCGATTGCTTTGAAATTTTGACACAACGTTGCATTTGAATACGCGCTTGTTTTTATATTATAAATATATAGATATCGAAATTCCTCCCCGCGGGGAGAGTTATACATTTATAATAGATACATTTTGAGCCACAGCAACGCATGGCCGGGTACAGCTAGTTAATTATAATAATTTAATAGGTGCTATTACACCCATTGACATACTACCTGATGTACTGTATTTTTAAGTTTTTTTGTAAATTTAGTAAATACTGTAATTATACTTTTCAATTATTACCGTCTGGAGCCCTTTAATAATAAAAAAACACTATGCTGCAATAAGATTTATTGTTTCATCGAAATCAGTTTGTTCAAACGTTTCCGCCTAGTTGAACCAAGTCAGTTTAATTCAAAATGGCGTCAAATTATACGAGATATGTTTTCGTATTGACTAATGAGCTAAAATATACTACATAGAGTGGTTGAAGCGAAGTTATGTTTGAGGAAAATTGAATACAGTCCGCCATTTTCTTTTAGTCAAGGTGACGTGGCATTTGTGTTATGTACACGCAACGAGCTAAAATATTCTAACTCGTCGATTGTACCCGTCGTTGCCACCAAAATCGCTGTAACTATAGTCAAAGCCATCCTATGGAGTACATTTTAGCTTGTTGGTATTGCCATTGTTAATGAGTTAATGAGACTACAAATCGCATACAGTATTAGTAATAAGTTATTACTAATAATTTGTATGTCCTGATTAGTGTTGGCGAAAACAGGAAATTTTCGAAATTGGTTAATCGGTTTTTAAATATCGGATTGCTAACCAGTTTGAATTCAGGGAAATTAATATTTATTATTGCATTTTATTAATGTTTATGAAGTATTGAGGTTATTATTATCCATGATTCGCAAATATGTTTGTGTCACGTGTTATTCCCCCCTAAAAGATGTCAGTGTTTCCATGTTGTAACGCTGGAATCATAAGTACAGTATTTAACAAATAGCAGTTGATAATAAAATTTTCAAATGCTAATCGTGTAAAACTATGCAATGTTATTTGTTAAAAATTATATTAAACTACAGAATTCTGTGGAACGTTTCATTTGAATATCTAAATTTACCCGTCAACTGTGATTATTTTGATGAACTATTGTTTGGCTCCACAAATATAGTTTATCGTGTTATAGCTTTAAGACTGAAAATGAAATAAGCTGTTTATAATTATCTGTTATTCAATGAACAATTATAATTTACAAGTATATTATAAATGTAAAAGTATATATGGCACTTCTTGTACAATTTAGTATATTTTATAATTTTCTGTTTGTAGGAATTTTCCTGTACTGTATCTTTAAAAAAATAAGTTGATTTACATTGTATTAGTGGTAATTTGAAAAGTCATTATATTTTAAGCTAAATCAATTTTTAATTGCGTTAATTTCTCTATTTATCCTACAAATTTTTTCAGCTCTGGCAATTAGCACAAGGATACATCACTAAAAAACAGTTAAATCTGTCACGAAACTGTTTATTAGTAATGTATCCTTGTGCTGTGACTGTAATCAGAATTTTTTTTTATTTTTCACCCCTTTTATGCAGAATTTCATTACTACTGTAGGTCAGCTTTAACGTATGTCATTTTTTAAAAGAGATTAAGAGTAGATTCGGAGTAATTACACTTTAGATATTAATAAATCGAAAAAAGTTTTATTACGCTCGCCCATGCAACTCAAACTGTGGTCTGTGGGCCAGTGCTTGTTCTCCAACAGTTTATTACTGCGAAAAGATTTCACTTAAAATTTATTTTATTTTATTTCACTTAAAAATTATTTTATAATTTATTAACAGTTTGAGTTGCACGGGCGAGCGTAATAAAACTTTTTTTGATTTATTAATATCTAAAGTGTAATTACTCCAAATCTACTCTTAATCTCCTTTAAAAAATGACATACGTTAAAGCTGTTTTATTAACATATATATATACATATATATATATATATGTTAATAAAACGAATTAAAAACTCATTTTATTATCATTTTCGTATTCCTTTATCATTTAAACACTTAGTGTCAGGGCTGGATTGGCGATCGAAATCAATCCACAAACTCATTATTTTAAAATGAAAGAAGCCAAATTTTGATTTTGCATTTTTCTGACTAATTCAGTTTAAAAATTAACGGAGGAAAAATCGTTTGAACTCTATTATTTCCGTTTTTTTTTTTGTTTTTTTTTAATTTAATTTCACAAAAAGGTTTACCAGGGATTGGAATGAATGAAAACTGTTCCTTGAACACAGAATTTTGAGAGGTGCTGTTCAAAACAAAAGCTTCCAAAGTAAACACTTATTTACTTTCCTTCTATAAATATATTCTATAAATATATTCAGTTTTTCTTCCAGTTTTTAACAGCCAATTATCAATTGCAGCTAATTTTGTGAAGCTGAAAGATGAATAACATTTAAACAATCCATCTCAATTTTGTCATTACCTAGATTTAATTTTTATTTTAAAAATTTTAGAAATATTTTATTTTAAAAAAAGTTAATTAATGTACCGAAATAACATGTAAAATATAAAGATCCACTACAAAATATGATAAATAGAATAAAATTACACTCATAA